GGAGACTGGGAGTTCTAGTCCCGCCTTAGACACGAAAGCCAGCTGGGTGACTTTGGGCCAATCACCAGGAGACTGGGAGTTCTAGTCCCGCCTTAGGCATGAAAGCCATCTGGCTGGGGGAATTCTGGGAGTTGATGTCCACCTCTCCTAAAGCTGTCAAGGTTGGGAGATTCTGATCTAAGTGGCTGCCCAATCATATCAATAAAGGGAAACACAGAAAATAAATGTGCATTTTCTCTTCTCCCCTTCGGGACCATCAGCAGGGCCTGCCATGGAGGACTTGGTCCTCTTGTGGGTACAGAAACCTGCAAATTTCACAACTCACACGGATGTTCTGATGCGCGGCGTTGTTGCCGTTGCTGCTCCGCAGATCGGAGAAATCGAGGGCGGTGTCGGGAAGTGGGACCACCCCTGGGGGAAAAAATAAACACCAAGATTCTTCAGCCTGATTCATTTAACGACTGATGACTAATTCTTCAGCCTGATTCATTTAATGACCTAAACCAGGGGTCCCCAAACTTGACAACTTTTAAGACTTGTGGACTTTTAAGACTTGAAGTCCACAAGTCTTAAAGTTGCCAAGTTTGGAGACCCCTGACCTAAACTCTTCAGCCTGATTCATTTAATGACTGTGTGACTCACTTAACAACAGCAAGGATTCCCTAAACCATGGTGCAAAACTCACACAGCACGTTCCTTCTTTCCTCACCCTTTCATGTTCCAAATCACTCCGTTGTTTTTCCTCCTCCAAGAGAGCTTTATTTATTTATTTTAAAGTCTTCTTCCTTCTCTAACAAAAAGTAATAATATCTTCCAGATGAATATCTACCTGTCTGGGCTTGGGCCAGATCTGTGGATATATCAGGAGAGGGGGGGGGGTCTCTATCAATTATATCCCCTCCCACACCCCTAATGCTTTTTTTCTTAATGCTTCCTGGAAGAGCCAGTGCTGATCTTTTCTAAATCCAAAAACATCTTTGGGGTGACAATATCTATCTATCTATCTATCTATCTATCTATCTATCTATCTATCTATCTATCTGTCTCAATAACTATCTCAATATCTATCTATTTATCTCAATCTATCTATCTATCTCAATATCTATCTATCTCAATAACTATCTCAATATCTATCTATCTATCTATCTATCTATCTATCTATCTATCTATCTATCTATCTCAATATCTATCTATTTATCTCTATCTATCTAATCTATCTATCTCAATATCTATCTATCTATCTATCTATCTATGTCAATAACTATCTCAATATCTATCTATGTCAATATCTATTTATCTCTATCTATCTAATCTATCTCAATAACTATCTCAATATCTATCTATCTATCTATCTATCTATCTATCTATCTATCTATCTATCTATCTCAATAACTATCTCAACATCTATCTATCTATCTATCTATCTATCTATCTATCTATCTATCTATCTATCTATCTATCTATCTATCTATCTATCTATCTATCTGTCTGTCTGTCTGTTTGCTTCAAAGATATACTAATGGCTTCCTTGGATGGGATCTGAGATTGAGAACTAGAACTGTGGCCAAACAGATGCTCCTGAACAGAACAAGAACAGGCCTGTGACGTATGTATGGAAAATTAGGTAGCTTTTACGTCATGGGCCTGTTCTTGTCCTGTTCAGGAGCATCTGTTTGGCCACAGTTCTAGTTCTCAATCTCAG